CTTTAATTAAAAGGAGACTCGCAGAAGATGTGCCGGCCTTATCAGTTTTTATAGTGCCCATTAGGACGGGAGCCAGGCCAGATCCTGCCACATCCAGCCGGGTGGCTATTGTCTCTGGACATGCTCAGGTAGCTCGTGACCCGCTCGGGTGCCATTACGCATACGCAGTGTGGTGCTTAAGCAAGCTTCCTCGGCCATGTTTACGTTGCGTTTATTGTGCGTTTTACGACATCATGTGCGCCACATAAACGGAACGGTGTTGGCCAGTTTATGCCCATTTATTGGCCAGGAAGCGCGACTAAGGCGCAATCCAAGTCGAAGCCAAACACGGAACTCAAAGGTGGCACAATGCTGCTCGGCCACTTTGAATGAATGTATTTGAATGAATAAATTAGGCTCATATGTGCATCTCAACTTGCTCGCTCGGCGTTTTCCACAATTTCGATTCGTTTCTTATGACGGGCTGAACGTGTAGAGGACATCAAAGGACACGTTCAATCGCATTCCATTTTAGGGGCTCTCGCCGAAAGGTTTCCCCTAAAACACCAGTGGCCAGGCTTAGACCATTTCGCGGGCCATTTGATGTAGGATCCTGGCGGACTTAAGAGGGTCTGATGACGGCGCCAATGAATCAACTTTCCTTTATAGTTTGCCCTCCAGTTGACTGTCTTCTGCACTCCGACGAAGCCATTAAAAAGCGGCCACAAACGGCGCCAATTCTGCGTCTTCCGAGGCGCAGCTTCAAATGAAGCTTGAACTGAACGAAATTGTGTGTCCCAGGTTTCCAGTTGGCCTTCTTCTTCGGTTGGCCCGCTGCGAAGTGGAAACGAAATAAAACAAATTAATAATGCTAGGCAATAAAATATGTTATACCGCTTCCCGTTGTTTTATGGCCCGTCCAGACTAATTTAACTATTGCCCAGCTGCCGAAAAAGCACCACAAATAAAGTGTAATTCTTTTTATCTCCGTTCGCGGATGTGTGTTGGCGTTGGCCACTCCACAAAGAATTCCGACGCTTTCGATGATGCCATTTGTGTAGCCACACTTTTCGCTTTTATGCGCGTGTGCTTGGAATTTTAATGGAAGTATTTGAGTTTCTCGAGGGGTATTTTAATTTTCAACTGCAAGCGCGCTACACCGAGAACAATTGCTTGCACAGCACAGCCACGAATGTTTTTAAAGCAATCCAGCTGCAAGTACCTGCATTTTCTTCGCGTGTTCCGCGCATTCTAGTGATGTATTTTACCATGTCGATCCGGTTCTAATATTGGATTAAAGTTAATTAATTGGGCATGGCTCTTTCCTTTAGCGAGCATTTCTGGTTTCAGGCTTACGGCTTACATTGCCGTAATAAATTGCAGCTAATAGCCGGCCGTCCATTAATTGGTGCTGAATTTGGGTGGATTTTTGCCCTAGATCGATTTTCATATGTGTGTGTGTACCTGATGTAATTATTTTATCACGCATTTAATTAGTTGGTCAGTGCCGCGCCACAAGGTTGAATGTTCAAAGTGCCATTTTGTGCATTCCGTGCGTGGCTTTTCCGCTTTTCCGCTATTCCACTCGCCCTTCGACCTTGAGGGGGTGGGCATTCTACGGTCCTGGGACTGCAGCCCTCAATTAAGTGCCTTTGCCAATCAAAGGCCCATTTACATGCATTTCATGTGGCAGCGTCTGCTTTTATTTCCCTCCCTCCTTCGGAGCCACCTCCTCAATTGACCACCCACTGAACCGATCCCACTCCCGCACCACCCACCACCCACCTACTGGTGGGGCAGCGGCGTCATGCGACTGCCAATCAGCGTTTCGATTGCCGGCGGCGTAACTTTTACGGCTTTTTATTGTTATTTTGAATTTTTATGGTTTTTTAACAGTAATAATTAATTTAATGTGCGCTTCGCTGTAGGTAAATCGGCGGCAAAACGCTCCCCGATTCGCCTTACATTATTATTTGTACTGCCCCGTGTTTGTTTTGCATTAGCGAATGTGTAAAAACCGCTGTCGAACATTTGGCCGCTGCTTGAATACACGTTTTGCCTGCGAGGTTGTCACTGTTTTTCCATTCGCGGTGACGCTGAACTTTAAACAGAAAACAGGAGAAAAAGAGGGAAAAATACAAATGAGCGGTTAAGTGGGGTGAACAGCAGGATTATCTGAACATCAGCCAGTTCGAGACTCGCCTGCAGATGGAATTTTGTACATACGAGTATGAGTAAGAGGCTTTGAAATTGTTTTTACATTTTTTAAAGAGGACCATATCACTTGGGACTCACTAAAGAGGCCTTATTCGTTTTGAATATGCGCATTGCCGGCGCTGGCAATTCCCCTGGCCATATCTCAGGTTTCGACTGGACTTCACCGCCCCATAATAGATTTCCCCAGTCAATCGAATGCCTTCTGCGATGGCTCCCCAAGGGCCTTGGCCGTGAGCTTATTAGCACGCACTTAACCTTGGACCACGACATGGCGGCCCAAATGGAGGGCTGGCCATAAATAATTGCAACTAACAGTTGGTGGCCGCCTCTCGGTTTTTGGCCGCCAGTGAAAAATGACATCAAATTACGCTGAGACGAAGAAGGAGACAACTTGGCACTTATAAATTGTGTCACATACTTCTTGGCGTCCAGCGGGAAAATTGATCATAACAATGGCTGAGGAGGAGCGTTTTCGAGCTCCATAAAAGTTTCGGACCAAAAACTTGTAATGCGAATCCATAAATCAGGGAGCGTTTAATGTAAACATTTAATGTAAATCCCATCTAGTGTCACTTGTTGAGTCGTAAATAAAGGGATGGCGGCCACGTCCTCGTCGCTGTGTCTCCAGTGATGAGTACTTATCCTTATGCTCATCCGCATCCTGGCGCTGGGTTTTAGATTAGATGGCATCATTGCGGTCATTGCAGTTGGCAGTCGGTCCTCCGGCTGACAAATTGCATTTGTAAGCGCTTGACTTGCTGCAAGGGTGAAAAGCGGAGCCCAAGATGGGGACGCTATTTTTCTTATTGATTGGCTTTAATTAGGAAAGCCATCAACCGCAAATTAGCCTTGCGATGGCTTCATTAATAAGTTTTTATAGCACTTTCCTCTCCCTCCACCGCCCATTACTTTTGTTTTTCGATAGCACATCCACATGGAGCACATCAGCGAACTGAGCTGAAAGCCAAGAGCTCACTTAATACGATTTATTTGTTTTGAAAATGTTTTCTTGACTTCCGCTCGTCCTCCTGCAAGTTTCGTAATTCATTGGGATGCGGCGTTGTTTCTGTTTTTACGCCTCGCCAAATAATTGCCCAGAACTTTACAGAAGCATTCGAGTGCCTGTCCAAGAAAGTTCGACTTTAAAGAGCACTAACGACTCAAAGTTTAGTACTTCGATAGCATTTGAGATTAGTGTTCCGGCAGTCGGCCCACTTTCGATGAGCGCCCGATGTACTGCCATATCGGGAGCCTGGAATTTAATAAACTGAACATATCCAAGGCTTGACATTATAATCCCATAATCCCACACATTTCATATTTGCTCATTGCCCGGGTCTGTTGGCTAATTGTTACTTGGACAAACTTCGGTGAGCCCCTCGAACGCTTCGCCTAGGGTTAACTTTTCCCTTTTCCGAAACTTCAGCGGGTAATTTCATTTAGCTAAGCGCAGAGCCACCTCATCCTCCAGGTGGTGGTCCCTCCATGGAAATTACGACTGCTGTCGCTGCTGCCCTTCAAAGTTTGCGAGTTTATTTTTGCATAATTGCACTGAGACTAAATTAAATGCTCACGCACTGGGGGATCCTTCGTCAGGGAAACTTTAAGCCTGCCCAAAACTTTTGCCACCAGACTGTTGGCAGCATAAATAAGTGGCTAATGTTCTGTGGCCAGACAAGTCTGTATGCATTCGTCGTTCGGAGCCCCAAAGAACGAATCTGTCTGCAGCCAGCGAGGATGGATGTAAATGAAAGGAAAGTGCGAATAACTTAAACATTGAATCGCTAACAGAATACCCTCGCTGAGCTATTGCTAGATGTTGCTATTTCCGCGACCACGACTGTGGGTATGCGATGGGCATATTAACCCAGTTTCCTTGACTGGCTGGGCTGTGTTGCTGTTTCACCCGCCTCATCCGCCTCATCCGCTTCCGGCCGCACATTGTTGCGAACTCGCTTGCGTTTTGCACTTGATTTTGACTGCTTCTGACATTTATGCCCTCTCACTGGACTCCACTCGATTCCGCTCCTCGCCAGACGCCTGGCTCTCCACTTAATTTTCTTGCTGGATTTTATGGCTCCACTATTATCGACTGGCCGGGCACTGAGAGAAAGCAATGGGAATAGTCGAGGGCGAATGGATGATAAAGTGATTTATTCAGTGTAATGAGCCTGTTGTGCGGTCACTTGTGCACAAAGAAATGAAGGGTCACTACTGAACGACTTGAATTTGGAGACGGAGCTATAAGCCCACGGGATTGTATAAAGCTCTGTCCAGCGATCTCTCACCTCCGAGTGGCCACGTAAACGATTCATTTCCTACCTGCAGCCGAGCCAAGTGTCACGAGTCACGAATGAACAGACGGACTCAATGCAGTTTGTTTGTCTTGCTTATGTGAATGCATTTTATGCACTTCGCATTGGAAATATTGTTTTTATGGCTCGTTGCTAGTGCAAATAAAACAGAATTGCCAGCATGACGTTAAACCAGACGAAAGAAGGACAGCTTGTCGACGGGATGCGGATGTGGATGTGGAAGCGGAGCAGCAATCAATGCAATCACGTTCACAGCCCCTGGTTTAGTGGAAGCAACGTTCACTTCACCTTTGCACTCGAGTGCCAGGGAAATCAGAGTGTTTGCTCCGGAGATGGGAATTAGGAATTCCGTCCAAATTGTTATTCATAAAATGCCAATTGAGTGCTGCTGTGGCTTTCGATTGAACTACTGAATCCCCAGACCTTGTTTGCCCGTAATAAATGTTTACCGACTCTCGTCTTAACAGAATTCTGTTCTTTGCATTGCAGGTGGTTCCGACAGCAACAAGGGAAAGAGCAAAAAATGGCGCAAAATATTGCAATTCCCACACATATCGCAATGCATCAACCTGAAAGACAAATTAGGTGAGCTTTCTGGGAGTGCCAAATGTATAGTTTGTACTCACAATCTCTGTATTCCCCAGATATAAGCTATGGCTACGTGATAGATCAGCAACCCATTGGTCGTGAGCTCTTCCGTCTGTTTTGCGAGAACAAACGGCCCGTCTACTTTCGCTATATCACCTTCCTGGACGAGGTGGTCAAGTATGTGGTGCACTAAAGGCTCTGGGGTCACACAGGCTAACCCTTTCGCTTTCCGCCTTTCAGATACGAGATCGAGTACATCTCGAACCGCATATTCATTGGCCATGACATCGGCCGCCGCTTCTTGGATGTCGAGGCACAGCTGGAGCTGCGCAACGGCAGCGGAGGCGACGCCTTGGACGCCGAGACGCAGGAGGAGCTGCTGCTCAACAGCAGCAATGCCAATCCAACTGAAACAGCTGAGACTGAACACTGCAACAATACCACCGCCAACAACTGCAACAACATCAACAACAGCAACAACAGCAACAACTCGCAGCACAGCAGCGACATCAATCACAAGAAGCTGGACACGCGCAATCACAACGGCGACGACGCCACTGGGAACGGGAGCAGCCACCAGGACGACGGGGACGAGAGCGTCAAGTGCCAGGACAGCCATGATGATGCGGAAAAGGGCGGTGGCGGAGAGGGAGGCGGCGGCGGCGGAAAGAGTATCCATGTGGGCGGGTATCCGGACGAGCTCGTGTTGGACGTGCTCAACGATGATCTCATTGCGCAAGTGCGTAACAAACTCAACAGCGGCGGCAAGGACATCTTTGCCCAGTGTGTGAACGCGGTTAAGGCGTTCCTGGCCGGCGAGCCGTTCCGGGAGTTTGAGAGCTCTATGTACTTTCATCGGTAGGTCTTAGAATTCTGTAAACATGGAGAAACGATCCGATATCCACTCTTTATCCGAACGATGAGGAAAATTCCGAGAAATGCTGTTAATCATATTCCGTATTTCTCTTCGCCCAACCAGATACTTGCAGTGGAAGTGGCTGGAGGCGCAGCCAATCACCTATAAAACGTTTCGCATGTACCGGGTGCTGGGAAAGGGTGGCTTTGGCGAGGTGTGCGCCTGTCAGGTAAGCCAGGAAAATAGCCACCTGTGGCCACCTGACCTCGTTTCTCACACACACTCACCTCGTCTTTCTCTGCACAGGTGCGGGCCACTGGGAAAATGTACGCGTGCAAAAAGCTGGAGAAAAAGCGCATCAAGAAGCGCAAGGGCGAGTCGATGGTGTTAATCGAGAAGCAGATACTGCAGAAAATCAACTCGCCATTCGTGGTCAATCTGGCCTACGCGTACGAGACAAAGGATGCCCTCTGCCTGGTGCTGACCATAATGAATGGTGGGTGTTGTCGTGTTACTCTGCTGCTCAATGCTCAATGCTCAATGCTGAATGCTCAAGGGGGGCCCATACAGCTGTCCATTGGCAGCCAGTTAGGGTTAATTAAGTGCTGGGACTCTTTATCGGTTAATCCTGTTAGTTTCCCATTCGACGGCAGTCATGTATCCTTCACTGCCAATTATCCGACAGTCCGGCATTTGCATGCATTCATTTAAAGGATAACAAATGCATGTGTAATCCCGGCGATGATTGAGTTTGCAATTTTAATTAAATTCCTGCCATTCAAGCGGCTGGAACAATGCCGAAGTCATCCGTTGCCAGTTGTCCGTCCGTCAATCCACGACCTAATTGAATTTGTACACAAAAGCCAAAGCAAGCCAGTCAACCAATAAGGCTCCCAGGACACGTCATTGTTTGAGCAAGACAATCAACGTCCTCTCCTCTTGCAGGCGGCGATTTGAAATTCCACATTTACAACATGGGCGGCGAGCCCGGCTTCGAACTGGAGCGTGCCCGCTTCTACGCTGCCGAGGTGGCCTGTGGACTGCAGCACCTGCACAAGCAGGGCATCGTCTACCGGGACTGCAAGCCGGAAAACATCCTCCTTGACGATCACGGCCATGTGCGCATTTCCGACCTGGGACTGGCCGTCGAGATACCGGAGGGCGAGATGGTGCGCGGCCGGGTGGGCACGGTGGGTAAGTATCCGCTAAGCTGATTGAAATTATTGCGCCCAGCTAAGCTACTTTACTTCCCTCCCAATCCAATAGGCTACATGGCCCCCGAGGTCATCGACAATGAGAAGTACGCCTTCTCCCCGGACTGGTTCAGCTTCGGCTGCCTGCTGTACGAGATGATCGAGGGCCAAGCGCCGTTCCGGATGCGCAAGGAGAAGGTCAAGCGCGAGGAGGTGGACAGGCGCGTTAAGGTTTGTCATAACCATCCGGCCGTATTAGGAGGATTTTGGCTTAAACCTTCTTCTTTGCCCCGCAGGAGGACCCCGAAAAGTATTCAAGCAAGTTTAATGATGAAGCCAAATCAATGTGCCAACAGCTGTTAGCTAAATCGATAAAGCAGCGCCTGGGCTGCCGCAACGGACGCATGGGCGGACAGGATGTGATGGCCCACCCGTTTTTCCACTCCACCCAGCTCAATTGGCGTCGCCTGGAGGCTGGCATGCTGGACCCACCCTTTGTGCCAGACGTGAGTTGAGCCGACCCATTTGCATACATGCCGTCGAGATATTGCAAATAGGCGTTTGGAGCATCGAACTTAATCGTTTTTCCATCATCCGCAGCCGCACGCCGTTTACGCCAAAGATGTGCTCGATATTGAACAGTTCTCTACGGTTAAGGGCGTCAATATCGACGAATCCGACACAAATTTCTATACGAAATTCAACACAGGCTCCGTGTCCATTTCCTGGCAGAACGAGATGATGGAGACCGAGTGCTTTCGGGAACTGAATGTCTTTGGACCCGAGGAGTGTCCCACGCCAGACTTGCAGATCAATGCAGCGCCCGAGCCAGACAAGGCGGGATGTTTCCCCTTTCGCCGGAAGGTTTGTTTGGCTCAGCGGCTACCGCCTGATACCTGAAAATAAGTACCAGTAAAAACTGAATTTCTCTTGCAGAAGAAGCAGCCGGCCCGCACACAGCCCATACCCATTCCTGAGCATCTGTTAACCACTAGTCACAGCGTGTCCTCCACGACGGTCGAGAGCTGATAGCAGAGATCAGTGAAGGATGCCTATAAGCGGACGCCTGACGTAGACGTCGACACATAGCACAAATTGCGCACAGATACCCCGGATCGGAAGAGTTCAGCAGGAGCATAATAACTTTAAAGCACAACCTAATTATAAAACCGGAACCTACATCGGTTTCTCCTTCAGTTGACGCGCAAGAAGCATTTTTAAATTGTACTTTTACATCAAATTTACATCTAATGAACGTTCAAGCTGATTTTGACACACGATATACATATATTTATAAATGTTTCAAAAAGACTCCTAACCGAAACACAACAAACACACACACATTGAGCACACATTAGAGAGTTAATTAATTGTAATAGTGGTAACATGAATACCACTCACTATACCACTTTGAGAGCTAAGGCCGTCAGTTTGTCACAGCACCCAAAAATAATGTTACTTAAATACGAGCGCTATTCAATATATAAGTGATCATCTATAACACGCATCATCCGCATCACCAGGAGCGGAACAACAGCGGATGGGCAGGAGCAGCACTATGTGGACGGCTGAGTAATATGTAATTTTTGTATAGTAGTTTGTGATCAACGGGACGGGACAGCGTTGGACGATAGATGTTCTAGTTAGCATTTGTAAGTTAAGAAAATGACATGAATACTCGAACACTTGAATGCATTTTTAACAAATACTTAACACATGCTACTACGTTGTACATGCATAGATCGATACAAGCGTGCAACCTAATCAGATTGTAAATGTAAAATCTTTAATTATTTATACGACTCCTAAGTTTTATTGCCGCACTCTTTTGCTAAGCTTTCATATCGTTCTTTTACTTTTTCTGTTGCCTAAGTTTAAGTTTGCCGAAGGTTCCCATGGAAGAACGTTATTACTGATATTTGTTTCGTTTTGCAATTGAATGAACAGCAAGTTATGCTAACTTATTAGCATTCATTGAGATATCGATGTCAGCTAGCGTCTAAGTTTTGTGTAATAGTAGCGTAGGCATTTTGTAATTAGCAATTAGCAACAAAGAAAGAAACAAAAACAAGAGTAAACCAATTGGAGAATTTATTATGTTAGTATGAAAATTAAATATGATTATTGAACCGGTTGGCAGCATGGAACGTGCCAGCTTAGTGCGTCTTAGTTTCAATTCACTTGATTTAGGCACAACTAGTAAATTGTAAGGCATATAATGAACAACTACTACCAGCACAACCAACCAGCATACAAAACAACAAACGCCATCAGCATCAGCCCCAAATCCAATTTAGCACTACAACTACATAAAGTAAACCAAACTGAGCAAGCGCCGAAATATTTATCTTTAGCAATTAAAGGCATATTTATAGAGCATCGTAAATACCAGATATACATACATAAATAAATCTATTCTGTAAGCGAAATAATACAAAATACAACCGAAAAGTCAAGAGATGGACATTCAAAAACAATAAACGTATTAAACTATCACTGTTGCGTTTCATTCTTTTCCAGAAAAGGCCGAAAAGTGAAGGACGAAGTGGTGGAGTGCTTCCATTGGGTATCTTAAGCAGTTTAAATTTTGCGCCATAGAAAAAAATACAGTTCTTGAAGCATACTTTTGGGATGAATGTGAAGAATTGCATACTTTTGGGCTGCGCGTCTTTAAGCTAACAGCTGTTCTAAAAAACATTTGTACCAGCTGGTAGACACTTGCTACGAATTATGTTCGCCTGGTACTGAAAATCAAAAAACCTGCTTCGTAGCAATCTCCTGAAGTCAAATTTGTCAGATCTGTCGACTAAATCGAAGGCTTCTTAGATTTGAAATACCAGGCGAACAGAAACATCAGCAGGTGGATAAGAAAAATTGAAACTCAGCAGCCCCTATCGGTATGCAATGGTTTATGCACCGAAGTCTGTCGACGCCGCAGAAAAGTATGCAACATAAAATAATTTCGCTACTTTCATTGTGCCGCCCAAAAGTATATTAAGAAATTGTATTTGCAGTGAATAAACAGCTACCCCCAAAAGTAGACTTATTTTTATTGAAGTACTCGTACCACGTAGATTGATCACCTTGCAGCTTTATTTCACATTTCAACTGAGCCAGCCAGTTAGCATTGGCAGATGTAGAAGTCCTAGTATCTAAGAGGTCACCAGACATGGATTCTGCGGAGGACCGCAACAGCTATCTTACTTTCTAAGCAGTACACAAATCATATCTTAAACCAAAGGGGCTTGCGCCGACAGTTGAAGATCCTTGTAGTCTGCTGTACGCCAGTGTAATCAAGGAGGCACTCGGCTCCGTTGTTCTCGAAGGATATCTCGCCCAGCTTGTACTCGGGATTGAGAGCCACGCGCAGGATGTAGCGTCGGTTGACGGGCACTCGGGTGACATCCACCCACTGGCAGTCCAACACATCGGTGTAAATGTCTGCGCAACCCACGGAAATGCCTGCAAGGAGATGGGTTAGAAGGGATCGCTTGGAAGCTGCCGCAAGCACACATACCTTGGGTGGTGTTGCCACAGGTGTACTTCTGCCGTACTCCTGGCCGACATTCAGAGTCCATAAGGCAAAAGGAGGCCTTGTGCCCCTGGGCCACCTTCCGGTAAGTGAGGTCATAAACATCAAAGGTGGCAAACACGTTCATGCTGTGGTAGTGTCTGTGGCACTGGTGCCACACCCAGTCCTTGTAGTTGGCGTAAGGGCTCACATCGGCTGTGCCCACATTGGAAGCCTTAACGGAAAAGCGCAGCAGTATCCTGGCGGCGTGCGGATTCGTCCTTCGGATCTCATAAGCGTCGGCGGATACACAGTGCTCCTCCATGGCGCAGGTGAGCCTCGACATGGGCACAGCCTCCAGGCGGGCGGTTCTCTCGATGTCCACCAGTCCGATCTCCAGGTCAGCCGAGTGGCTAACACAGGCCACCGTGCTGACATTTTGGTTTCGGGCATTGCAGAGGTTCGGGTAGTGGGACTCCCGGATGCAGTCGCCGAGGCGATGCTCGGTTCCCCTGCACAGAGTGCCCACCATGCCCCACGGATACTTCCGACTATCCCCGTGCTTCGTACCCTGGCTTGCCTTGGAAGCGTAGCCCAGTCCTAGTTGTCGGCATACCACATTTGCCTCCCGCATGCTCCACGAAGTGCTGCAAATTGTTCCCCATGAGGCGCCAAAGTCAAAGCTCACCTCCACGCGTCCCTCGCGGAGAACTTGAATGCCGGCGAGCGCTGCCTTATTGGTGGCCAGTCGGACCTTCATGTTTCTGTAATTGTTCTGCACGTTCAGGCCACTGTTGTTGGCCCAACTTCGGCTGAGCACCAGTAGGAGCTGCAGCAGTTGAAACCGGAACGAAGCCATCGCCCATTCAGCGCCTTCTGGTGGAGTACACCCAACATGCAACCAGTTTTAAAGTCAGCGGGAACAATGCGCCAGTAGGGTAACAACTGGCGAATGGGGCTACATATGTAGGAGGTATATTGTGCGTTGTGCTTCCCAGCGGATCGACCCACATCTGCTTGGCAGGCGGGAAAACATTTGTATACAAAACTCAGCTGGCAAAATGCCTATACCGAGCGCGCGTGCTCTGGTTTCTGCGGTTTCAGTTTTTTGGGGGTTGGAGTGCATGCGTAAACAACTTCTGTGCGCCGGTTAGGACTCAAGCAGCTTGGTGATGGCCTCTTTCAGTTCCGCCGGCTTGAAGACGCCGCGTTCCGTGATGATGCCGGTTATCAGGGAGGCAGGGGTCACATCGAAGGCGGGGTTCCAGCAGTTAATGCCCGGGGCAGCGATACGGTGCTCTCCCACGTGCGTCATTTCCCGGTCGGGCCGCTCCTCAATGATGATGTGATCGCCTCCGGGGATCGCCAGATCGATGGAGGTCAGAGGAGCGGCCACGTAGAAGGGCACGTCGTGGTGCTTGGCCACCACGGCAATCTGGTAGGTACCAATCTTGTTGGCCGTGTCCCCATTGGAGGCCACCTAAGAAAATTAACAAACCATTAATCGAGAATAGCTAATCACTAATCGCTGCTTACTCACCCGATCTGCTCCCACGACCACAGCAGCCACATTTTTGGCGCGCAGCAGAGCAGCCACCATGCTATCCAGAACCAGAGTGGCGGGGAATTTCTCGTGGACCAGTTCGTAGGCTGTGAGGCGGGCGCCCTGATTGTAAGGACGGGTCTCTGTGCAGTAAACGTGCTCTAGATCGGAAGGTGCCACCGTTAGTAATCAGTTCATGCACTAAACTCTGTTAAGTACTCACCTAGTTTTCCCAGCTCGGCCAGTTGGCGGACCACTCCCAGCGCTGTTCCGTACCCGGCGGTGGCCAGGGAACCAGTGTTGCAGTGGGTAAGCACTCGGACGGATCCAGTGGATCCAGCGGGAGCTCCACCTTTCTCAGCCACGCGCTGCAGGATCGCCTTGGCTCCATTGGCTCCAATGGCTCGATTATCGGCAATGTCTTTCTTTAGCATAGCTTCGGTGGCGTCCAGAAATCTTTAACAGAGCTTGGTTAGCTTGGTGTGCTCGTATGGTAGCCAGTGAGGTGTTACCTTTGCTTCATTCCGTTCACGTCGATTGCCTCGTCCTTGTAAAGGTCGTTGGCCAGGGTGATGAGCTCGTCGGCAGCGATCTTCATGTTAACCGCCGTGGGCCTGGCGGAAACCAGATAGTTCAGCTTGCCCTCGACCTCCTGCCGCAGTGATTTCTTGGTCTCAAAATCCTCTGGGTTGATCTCCACGGCCAGGGAGAGGCAGCCAACGATAGCGATGGCGGGAGCACCTCGAACCTTTAAAGACAAAAATATTAATTTAAAATGCTTGCTTTCATTTTAATGGTTCCTTGAACGCACACCATTTTCACGATTATTTAAAACAAGTTCCCATTCATTTTCTTGTTTGATCAATACATTAAATCAAAACATTTCAAAATATCTGGCTGTCATGCTGTTGTCACATCTCAAACGAGACGGTTGAATTATTTGGGTGCTATATTGTCGTTATTCACGAACAAGAGCGGAGAGCAGCCAGATTAGGTGGGTCAGCCTATCTTGGCTTATCAGGTGACGATGCAGAAAGCGGGGTAAATAGTTACATGGAAAAACGCCGAGGGCTCCACGTGACCAGGCGCGTGCTCCCACATAAGCGATCTGCCACCAAGCCACCAATGGGCCATCATCTTCTTCTGGGGGCATTAGCCCAGTGGGAGCCGATGGCCGAGTGACGTGCGCGGAGTAGTTTTATTTTTGGCAAGCGTTTTTAAATTTTTAATTTCAATTACGTTATTTATAGCCGGGCAAGGGACATACGACAAGCGACAACGGACAAGCGAGCGACCGTTGCGCAGATTAGGAAATGTACCAACAGGCATTTAAATGGCAATATGCCGGGGGACGTGGTCTATTAAGGGAGGCAGGCGCTGGCCCAGGGTCACTTCACCCCACTTCCCATGGCATCCTCACCTGCATCTTGTTGATGACCTTCCAGCCATCCTCCACGCCTCGCACCACCTCGTACTTGGACTGACCGGGCAGGAGCAGCTGGTCGAGGATCTCCAGGCTGCCACGCGAGTACTTGATCGACTGCAGGCTCATCTCTCCAGGAGCTTGTACTGTAACTGGAAGAGGTTTCCGATTAGTGTGTGAAATGTGTAGGGGTAGCAGCAGGGAGACGGGCAACCCACTTGGACCACCAAGGGGCGAATCGCTGGCCACTAATCAGTTATAAATCGAAGGCAATCAGTTTCAGTTCCGACTCGCAGCTTTCCACGTTGTCGTTGGAGAGACAACTGCCAGGCAAACCGATCAGTGAGCAACTGAACGAGCCTCGCGCTTTGGGCGTCGGAAGCGTTTATTTCGCAGCCGAGCGAAAGTGGCGAGAACGGCGCCGGAAGAGCGGGCGGTGCACGGAGAGAATACTGCCCGACTTACGAGGATGCTGGCCGTAGGCGAGGGCTTAAATGGGATTTGAATTGCCAGCTGATAGAGCTGAATAAAAATTGATTAGATGCTGTCCCTCAGAGTGCCTTCTTTTCGTGCAGTGTACTTGGCTGGGGGGCGTGGCAGGCGGAGGGGCCTCGGCCGCGCCATCGGCGATTAATTGAAGTCGACACCATCGGTGGCCACTGCTTCCTCTGCCGCCGCTTGGGCGCTGGGGAGGGATTCCTTGCTGACCAGTGTAGCCCGGCAAGAAATTAATCGAGCTGCTTATCTGTCCGCCGGTTATTGGGCAATTTTGAGTGTGCCTCAATTAATGCGACTGCAATTAGTTGGGCCGGCCGCAACGTGACAGCGACTTGTCCGCTGGTCCTGTGCCAACAAACGGCCAGATGGAATGCGTCGGGAGGGAGGGATTGGGCATTGGGCAGTGGGATCAGCACATTTGGGTAACTTAAGGGCAACTGGTGGTTGCCGTTGCCGCAAGCTAACCTCTCGCAGCTGATTAGCAGCTTAGTAGCGCCCAAGACCAGGTGGGATCGGCAGCTTCCGGGGAGCGAAGTCGAAGATCAGGAATCGGGGATCGCGGTTATCGCATCGACCACGCGCACGTTTTGTTACTTGATTTATTTTTAATTTTTGATTTACGAATGCTAGTGCGGGCAGTGTGACCTCCTCTCTTTCCGCACAGAATACCAAAGTCCACTTTCGCTAACAATACATGATTTGGCTATGTTGCTGGCAGCTTTGGTAAATCTTTCGTCTATAAGAAGCGTTTTAATGCAATTCGGACTCATTGGCATTTTGTTTTTAGCGGCCATTTTCAAGTTATACATAGCAAATATATTTGTTCAAGTCATAACTCACCATTCCGCCACTGTGGTGAAATAAAAGGTTCGTGAGCAAGTCGCAAGGTGGCGCTAGCTACGCGCCAAATTCAAACAGAGCAACCCTTTGCCTTAAGTTTTAAAACAGTTCATTTACGCATTATTACACACCCAGAATCAATCATGAGTAAAGTTAGAGGACCAGCTCTGTACCGCCTGGTGCCCTCGAAGACGCTCTTCATGCTGTGCGACGTGCAGGAGAAGTTCAAGCCGGCCATTCCGCTGCTGAGTTCGCTCATCGAAAACACTACTAAACTGGTGAGACAGCGAGAAGTGACAGGATAATGGTCGGGTTTTAATGGATTCCAGCACATTCCATTCCAGCTGGCAGCCGGCAAGATCCTCCAAGTGCCACTGCTGGTCACCGAGCAGTATCCCGAGAGGCTGGGCAAGACCGTTTGTGAGTTGGACATCCAGCATGCCTGCGCCAATGTTTCCAAGACCATGTTTTCTATGCTGGTCGAGCCCGTACGTAAGAGTATGAATGATATCTTTGGAGGAAAGCCCAAGACGGCGGTGCTTTTCGGCCTGGAGGTGGGTTATGGTTTGAGTTAGGGATTGGTTCAGCAAAACGACTTCGCTTCTACTTTATTTAGACACACGTCTGTGTGGAACAGACGGCCTTCGACCTGGTAAATGATGAAATAGATGTCTGGCTGGTGGCCGACTGCTGTGCGTCGCGTCTTAATCAGGATCGGGACTTGGCCTTGGAACGCCTGCGTCACATCGGCTGCAACATAGCCACTTCCGAGAGTGTGATATTTAATCTGCTGGCGGATAAGGAGAATAAGTCATTCAAGGAGATTGCTCCTCTGGTGAAGAAGATCTCCGCAGACATGCAGCTCTGGCGCGCCTCAAAAAATTAAGCCTGGCGGCACTTTTCATGTCTTTTGTCCAGTAAACCATCCTTGCAGCGTATGCACAGTGTGTTCATTTTAGAAATTATGAGAATTATGAGAGAAGGACCCACCGCTAGGGCGGCCTTCCTGTCCTCGTCAACTCATAAACTTCTTGGCCAAATGGACAGCTGAATGGAGCATCCTATGGGGCTACCCCTTTTTGCCCTGGCGGCGCCTTATAAGAGCCATCAAGACACACACATCCCATGCCATCCCATCGATAGAAACAGCAGCTTCTGCACGGCAGTGCTGCCAATTTATGCAATGACTGTTACTCGGCTCTTTGGACCTGGAATTGGCTGGCTGTGCAGTTAAATTTTATGATGCAATCGCAACAATCTCCAGCGCCCATCTAGCCATCTTCAATCGGCGCTGCAGGCATCCCAGCCAGCGGTACAGCGATCGTATCCGAACCAAGTGATGGTGACAATGTAGGCAGGCGTCTGATTGACTCATAACAGGCCACGCAAACATCGCGATCTTGATCGCCATTTGCATGCCAAGAGGAGAGGAGGATCTCCGCCGCCTCCGGCAGCTGGCAATTTATTTGCCCAGTCCGGGCCGGGTCCCCATCTCTCTAAGCCCCTAAAACCACAGCAGAGCGCAACTTATGGCGATGGCATCTCGGCACGCGATAAGTCAACAACTTATCCGAGTTCCCCGCCAGAGATCTATCTAAAGATCTATCCAATTAGGTATGCCCCTCAGCTGTGGCTTTAATTCCGCCCATGCCTAGGCGGGAAAAGTGAATTGGGCTAACGGCAGTGTGCGTAAGCCTTTGCCGCCCAGGGATTCCATAAATTTCTGGCCTTGTAACTGGTTTTTTTCATATTACCGGTGCCAGCCTCACATTTGGGATATTAATAAATTTGGTCTTCGTTTTTCTGCCGCACGATGCTGGCCAAAAAGAAAAGATGATAAATCTGTGAAATTGCCTGCGCGGTGTGCAAATGAACACGGCTCCATTTCCACTTCCAGTTACATCTCCCAAGTCCGATCCGCGATCTGTGATCCTCGGCAGCTGGTAGATTTTGCTGCCGTGGAAAATCGATGAAAGATTGGGAATTTATGTGCTGGCACGCCGGCAAGTGGCAACTGTGGACACGCTCATAGATCAAATCAACCGGGGAGCAGCCTAGGAACCGCCTAAATGGCAGCTTCCTTGGGTAACTATAAACAAACAGGAATTAGGCGAAAACCCAGTCCCTAAAATTAAGAAATTTATCAAGCAAATGCCGGGTCAGCAACCACCACCTCCTCCATCACAAGTTAATCCCCACGGAGCCATTTATCCCATTTGAATGGAGCATTGAATGGAGGTTGTCCACTCCGCTGGCCTGGCTGGCCTGGCTGGCTTAGCTGCCTCGAAATTCCTAAAACTCGGTTGACAAATGTGAGAATCCCAGGCGGCGCCTTCAAAGAGCCTTACTGGTTGGTTGCAGCCTGTTCGCTCAGATTGCATAATTTATGGAGCCGCCTGCCCAAATTAGCCAAAATCGAGATGCTCCTCCATTAATGAGACATCTAATGAAAGATCGCTTGCATTTCCCACACTTTGGGCCGTGCCTAGCATTTCTCAAGCCACAATTAGTGCAATCGTTCCTCTATGCTAATTATTCGTTTGTTCTTTACAATACCGCTCTTTCCGAAAGGGGCGCGGTCCCTGGCGGTCATAGGGAAAATTCTGTTTCGGTTGCCGCCTTCGAGTTCGAGTTTCAGTTTGACTTTGAGGCCCCACGTCACCTGTTAACCCACAAAATGCATGTGGCCAGTGACCAGCAATTAGCCGAGTGAGATATGTATCTCCAGCCACTAAGTGGCTGCGAGTACGTCTAATTAGCATATGGCCCACAATGTATTCATCTGCATCTGTTTTCCGCGTCTGGAGGCGTTCTTCTGGGTGTGAGATGCCCAAAGCACACGTATTAATTAGACCTGGTTATGATTGCTGGTCTCGGAGCAGCAGCGATAATCGACCGCTAACAAGAAGCGGACCATCGGGAGTCGGGAGTCGGTCATCGGGAACTGGGAACTGGGAATTGTACATCGGATAGGGGAAATGCGTGCCCCAATCAGAGAAGAAACTCCTGAGTATTCGTGGTTATTCACTTAGCCCGTCTGATTGCAATTTGGGGCTCTTTTTAACGAATTCCTACAGGTTTGCCTCAGAAGAGCTCCTGAGAATGAAATTATCTTTTTGTTAAAAAAGAACTTCCAGATTGCATGGTACTACAGTTCAACGGAAGGTGAGCAACGCGATTGATATTCATCAAGAGACACAGGCCAATCAGTTGAGAATATTTCCATAGACTTGCAACAGATTTTGGCGAAGCGAGGCACGATACACTACGTTGTAATTCGTATATATAGGGGGGTTCCATCCAGTGGCTCCACCTGCTACGTAAATTGAATGGTCAGGATGGGACAATGGGTCAGCTTGGAGGACACGGCGGGTCTCCTGTCATCGATTAAGATCGCCGCTGTTTATTTGCCGCTTGTCCGACCGCTCAAACTAGATCAAGCGGAGATATGAATGCTGTTTACACCATGTCTCCGAATGTTTTCTCTCAATCCCAGTGCTATCTTCACTTTTATCAAACAATGCCGCACGGGCAACAATGGCGCGACATTTGAAAAGCAGTGAAAGGTGGCCAGTGGCCAATGCTTCTGCCAGTGGTTGTGCTCCACTTGGCCGTCGGCTCGGCCTGGAAGAACAGTCGCAGTCATATACTCGTATGTAACTAATTTGCTTAATAGCGGGCACAATTCGAGGCCAAATCGGCCGAGCGCTTGGCTAGCCCACAAAAGTCGCCGAAAAAGATTTACACAAATTTATGCTGGAAAATCGGATCGCAGACCGCGTGTTTTAATATGGGCAATTGGCCAACAAAGGCGGCCGAGGCCAACACATTTGCGTGCTTTATGGCCGAAGCCATAAACCCTCTCTCCATCTCCGCATCAAAGTGACTTGACTTGCAGTTTTTGCAGTTGCAGTTGCCATATTTGGGCAGTTTCACTTGTTCGGGAATCTTCTTCTTTAAGCTAAGGTGGGGGACAATTAGATATGCACCGTGTGCACTTACTTTCTAACCAAATTAGCATACGCTGCTGGCTGGCTTCTCAATGCATTCCGCTTGGAAATTCCATCCTGTGACTGAAAAAGAAAGTGACAAGAGGATGGATTAGGATCCGCAACTCATAAGGAGCTATGCTTTTCATTGCCAAGTATCGATTGATTGCCTTAATCGACCAGCTTTCGCCGACCCAGCCCCAAAAAATGAGCCTGCTCCTCAGGAAATCCACTTGACTTAAATGTCAAAGGCTGCGCCCGTGGTTCAGTTCCCTGTGCGCTTGGGTCAAACCATTGTGTCACGACTCTCCAAAAACACCGTGTAAAAATTGAAATGGTCGGCCGACGATGGTTGTTATTAAATCAAGCTAATTTGTGCAGGGCCTACAAAGATGCCGCCAAAACTCTTGAATTGGCAGCCGCGGAAAGTGAAGTTTTGGGCCGGCAGATTCACTTTCTGGCCGGGAAAAACAAAGGACCCAAGAAGCCAGCCGAGAAATGGGCTAACGATAATGGCAAAGAGGCCCAACCTCTCAGCCGCTAAATGGGCTTATTAGAGGCGTCGCTGCTCCAGTTCATTGCCCGAGACTCCCACCAGAAAATACTCTGTCAAATGCATTCAATTAAGGTTAATTTATAGCCACTTCCCATCCGTAATTACCAAACGAAAATGTGTCAGTACGTTGGCAAAACTCTGCGGTTATGATTTGTGAAGATCTCCACTCGAAGCCATTGTCCAATTCGGCTGGCCGTGATTAATGGAGTGTGTGGTCGACTGGTCGCTGGCCGCTGGCCGCTGGCCGCTGGAAATTGGCACAGTCTGCGGATTGGTGGTCAGTGAGCGACGTAGGTGATGTTCCCGAGATCAGTTG